TTATAATCTATATTTCAAACGTGTGTCTTACGCTTTATCTAATTTTGAGATACAAATGTTTACACTAAATAGATTAAATTTTAGTTTAATTTAATTAAAAGTTTTTCCCAATGTTCTATAATGTTTTTTTGTTTCTAAAACATATTTAAACACAGATAAATGGTATAGAAACTCCCTAATAAATCTCATTTTAATGTAATATAACATAACAAATTTTTTCAAAAAAGATTTTCACTGGTTATGCATTTATACATATGTGAATAATATAAGAAACACGTTCCATATACAATAATATGTGAGCGTTAATAAAAGCCCAAATTAATACCAGTGACTAGAAACGCGAGAATTTTAATTTAAAGACGGCTTAAGTAATTAAGACCGCAATATTAATGCAATGCTATAAGAGAAAACTCAAGGCATTAAATCCAAAAGAGACAAACTCTTACATTATTATGTATTTTGAGATATGAATGAATTGATATTGCGACTATTGAAGTCAAACGTCAAACAGACATTTCGTCAATGCAGAGCAAGTAGAACAACGAGGTCAAGTTTCAGTTCCTGCAACGACTTCGATGACGGATTTGTCGATTTGCCATGTATTATATCTTAATATGCTAATATTAATAAAAAATAATTCTAAACTCAAATCTAGGAACAAGCTGTGCAGCCGACCACTAAATGATAATACCCATGGCAAGAGTATTAAAAACTTTTGTTTATATATATGTACAAGAGGAGAAGCAGCAGTAGCAGCAGCATAAGCGCTAACGATTAGAGAAAAACAACAGCAGCAGCAGCAGCAGCAGTGGAAGCAGGAGCAGCAGCAGGAGCAGCTTCTGCAGTAGGAAGTGGGACCAGGAGCAGCGGCCACCCTTCTTATCGCTGTTATAAAAGTTAAAGTTGTTGCCATTGTTTCTGTTGCTATTGCTATTGTTGCTGCTGTTGCTGTTGTTGCTGTTGTTGCTGTAGTGCTGACAGCTGGAGCTGATGCCGCATTGTGGTTGGACGGCAGCCATTGTGTTACTGCGGCAGGGCTTATGATTAGTTTTATGTTAGTTGGTGTTGGGTAGTTGGCGCCGTCTGTTGAGCCCAATGCATGGGTGGGGAGCTTCGCTCATTTATACGATTGCCATTTAATAAATATGTATATATATGCGTGTGTATGTATGTATGTATATTTAAAGTTGATTTCAAGATGAAACTGATGGCACTTGTTTTTGGCCATCATTTGCCAAGCGCTGCCTGCATAATTTACAATTTTCAATAGTAAATTGCCAAGCCTAAGGTCCTTCACACACACACATGAGTGCAAACACACACATACATACACATCCATACATAAGTGCCATAGTCCAGCGGGGTCTTTGGGCAAACAATGGCGCTATTGTTAAAGCCTGTTTCATGGCGGCTCAAGTACGTAAACAAATATATACAGAAAGGAGAACAACAAAAACACACAACAACAACAAATTGACTGTGTGTATGTGTGTGTGTAAGTGTGTAACCCTTGACCTCATGAAAAACAAAGAGTAACGCGAGCCGGCGAGAGCAAGTGGAAGAAGCGACTAAAAGTCCACGTTGAGGCACGTAATTAATTTTTTTTTTATTTTCTCTCTATTTTGTGTTTTTTTGTTATCTTCCAATTTAAGCTGCGCATAGCCGCTGTGCGCTCCATTGCAAAAAAACCAGCAACTACAAATTGTGCAACATAGCACAGCGTGCTGTCTACCCTATAGAAGCTGAGTGTGCAACGGTGTGTATTAGGCTGTTAAATTTGCTTGAATTGAAGAGAAGGAAAGAATGTTAAAGCTCAGATGTCACTGACTACACTTAATAGTTGTTGATTGTGTGTATCTATAGACAAGTTGAATCGTAGTAATTATTAGTACAGTGAATACCAAGGTCTTATGTATATAGGTACAATTTTTATATTTTTAATACTCTTATAAGCTGAAAACATAATACTAAAAACATATACTTTTAGCTACTATTATGATCAGATTAATAAATATGTAGTATTATCCTACAGCTGAAAAGAAAAAGGCGTAAATTTGAAGACATATAGCCCAGTAATTTTCTGTGAATTAATTGATCTTTCGACAAAAACAAATTCCAAACTCACTGCAAATGAGAATATACTGTTTTATTTTATTAAATAAATAATACTATAATAATACAAAAATAATATTTACATGCACAATCGGTTGATAGTATTCATAATTATATTCGCCATAATTATAGACAAAATGCAAAGGGAACCATTATTTTGATTAAATATCTTTACAATATCCATACGTTCAAATAATGGTAAGCCGTTCCGTAGTTAAATGTTAATTTAAATTCAACAAAAAGGAACTATCTGCTCGTCTAAGTCTTTGAGACGGACAAAGTCCTATACTTTTTTATTGATCTTCGGTCATTTATGCAGAACTAAATTTTGTATTTCAAATTTTTATATAACACAAGCATACTTATTGATAAACAAAACTGTACAATATCTATCTACGTTAGGGATCGTAGTTTGTCACATTCAATAGTAATTAAAATATAGTAAATAATACAGAGTATTTCACAGTCGTGCGTTTGCCAATATTTTCCTGGTTGGTATACCTAGCGATGGAAAGATTAAAAAAAGAAGCTAAAACCGCTAAATAACAAAACGCAACAACCCAACAAGAGGAACTAAATTTTTGTGGTTTTGAACTAGTTCGGTTGTCTGTAAACACGCTTAACGAGTTCACATTTTGCACCTTGCTTCCCCCTGGAGGCTTGCGCTCCATGAAATATTTGTTATACCAGACAGCGCTCAGGGGCTGAGGTACTAAAGGACAAAAGCAGCAGGGACCAAGTGGCCATATTTATTTTGCATCTCTGCCTGTTGTCTGTCGACTCCCAAAGTACTTTCTAAGCCCACCTGCAGAAGGTAAGTTTGCTTAGCCGAACTAGCTTAACAAAGGTCTGTTTTAAGTCAAATGGAGGCTGTAAATCAATAAGAGAGATTTTGACCTTCTATGCTGATAATTTTGTTTGATTAGGGTGAGCTGATTTTAAGAACTCTGCCTATTTGTAGATAGTTTCCTTAGTTTTGTATAAATAAACCTTATAGGCAGCTTAACTTAAACATAACTTAGTTCAATTTAATTTCATATTCAAGATAATCACAGGAAACATATCTTTAGAGGAGTATGAGTTATACTAAAGTAGGGTATTTGCTATATTCTTAGGCCTATATCCTATCCAGCGGACCTTCAGAGTAGTTGCGAGGTTTATCAGAACATTGAACTGCTATCTAGTAGGGCAATGATCTAATTTTACGAGGTACTTTACAGTCACCCTCTATGCCCCCGATATGCAGCACAATGCTCCTGGTTTTTATTTAGCTAGAGGCCTCATTGATTTATCGCATCGCTTTAGGATATAACAGATGTTATTTATTTAGATACGCCTAGCTTGACGCTAGGATGTACTTGTTCTTTTCTGAACATGTCTAGAGTTAGTTTGTAAGGCGTTTTATCCAGCTCAATTCTAAATAATTTCAATAACAGTGACGTGATTTGTTGAGACTGAAAATAAACTAGCTAAAACTGAATATATTTTTTTTATAAAATTACATTTATTTTTGTAAGTTTTTCTTGAATCTAAATAATTTTTTTCCGTCCTTTATACAATTATAATTTATATACGAATTGAATACAATAAGACGTGAACATAAAAGTTTCTATTCAAATGGTGGAAAAGGCGTGCAGGAGCTTAAGATGCTCCTCATAGAACTTGATTACCATCATTGGTATATGGCTGTATGCCATGTCGGACGCAATAAGTTCCGGTTGATCGAGGTGCTTGAATTGAATCAAAAATAATATTTTCCCATTGCTATTTATGGCATACAGTATTTTTTCAGCTATGTGGCCATAATCGAAAGCATTGTCCATTATTAAAGATGGCTCAATCTTGAGTTTTTTTGCTTTGTCGACGTAAATCTCATTTATTTTGATCTCAGCTTGACGCTTGAGGTTCTTCTTGGCCCGTTGAGACTCAAATTGAGCTATCAATGAGTGGCAGTCTAGGAATTTTGATAGCTCCCAGGTATTATCCTCATCTGGAAAATTTTGCCACTTTACAAAATATTCCAATTCCCCCAAGTGTATGCGACGGTCCAGTATTTTCTCTACAATGTACTCCTTGTCCTCCTCTTCGATGTCCGATAGAGATGTGTGAGTCCAAATACCGAATTCCATTGTTTATGTTATTGTAAATATATAATATGTTTGCTTGTTGTTGGTGAATATGTGAGTGAACTAATTTTTCGTTTATTGATTTAAAGGTTTTAAAGTTAACGCAAAGCCAACTGAAATGGGCTCAACTTTGTCGAAAGTTCTCGATGCTATTCATTTCCAGGGCTTTATTACATTTCACAGAGGGGAATGTGGCTTTCGGAAATGTCGACATATTTGCGGCTAAAAAATTTAAATTTTTAATTATTTTCGCCAACATTGAAGCTGACACATGGGGCTTAGGTTGCACCAGCAGAAAATGGGTCGGACACTGGTTGGATTAGCTCTCGAAATCGCAAACAGCCACAGGACAGCCGCAGAGACGCACAGCCACGCAGACAGCGCAGTTTGTTATGCAAATTTTCTCTCCTTTTTATATCTTTTCATGGCGCACCCAAACTGAATGCTGAATTTGCTGACGAACTGCTGTTGATGAAGGTTTTTTTTTTCAGTCAGAAACGTGGCTACTTCTGCGATTAAGTTATGGCAACCCAAAGCCACTTTGTCAGCCCATTGAGCAAGGCCACACACTTTTTCCTGCCTGCTAAAAAGGAGTGTTATTTATAGCTAGGAATTTATATAACACACCCACACACACACACATACGTAGAGTAAAACAATTGCCAATAAAATATATATTATATGTCTACATAACGAAGTTCTGCAATACGCTGCGAATACTTAATGAAAAATGATGCTTCCAGCATAGCTAAAGAAAAAAAAAAAAATAGCAGCATGCTGGCCCAAAGGGCTCGAGTCTGTCAAACTAATAAGCCAAAGCCGTCGCATGTCACAAAAACTTGGGAGATAATATATATACGCATATTTTTTGTTGTTTTTATGTCTCAAAATATATTCGCCTAATCCTGACCAAAGTGCAGAGGGAGCTAATCCGAAGCCAAATTAAATATTCTAACAGAAGTGCTGTAACAGCGCCATTCTGGCGCACAAAAACTATTACGATTGTTTTTTTGTGCCACCCTTAATGAGCAATTTTATGGATGAACTTTTATGGAACAGTTACTTCAGAGGCTTAGCTTACACTGGCGATTCCCTGTTTCTTAGGAACTGCGTTTCAATTTCAGTAAAAGCTAATCTTTTCCGCAGGTTGGAGTTGCCTTTGTTTTCCAGATAATTAGCCATTAGCCACTCGGAATTGTTGTCTAATTGCTTGTTTTCTATAGCTAAGTCGGGATTAGTTAGGCATTTAATAATGAAAGCAGAGTCCTTTCATAATATTTACTTATCTGTGTGATATTTGCCATGGTTTTTCAGGTACAATTTTCTATTAATCATCAAGGTGCCAGAAAGGTCAGAGCAATAGAATAAATTGTTTGTGTTCTGCAATCAATCATTCAAAATAGAAACTGATGACGTCTACAGAGACCAAACCGTTTATGCAATAATCATCGATTTTAGTTATTCAAACTTTAAATTTTGCATAACTTTAAAGCATATGAGTGGAATAGACATGTACAGCCTTTGTGTGCAATTCGAAAGCGAAATGCTTTAGTACTTATTAATGTCTTAATTAGAGTTTATATATATGTCTATCTTTAGGCTAGAATTAGTTTCCATTTTATAAATTTACAAGCTGACATTTGGCATTTGCTGGTGTATAATACATATATGTTGTAGGTTAGTCTCATCTCTTTCAAGATATATGCATATGCATATATTGTTAAACCAAAATAATAACAGCCAAGCTGTCAAAAGGCCTTATTCAAACAAAGCAGAGCAGAGCCAGACCGCCTGCTCTCCTGCCTGCCCGCCTGACCGTCTCCTGCTTTGCAAACCTGCCACATGGCCACAGCTTGTATTCTGAATAGATATTTCGGCATTCTTCATGCAACACGGAGCGGTTACGTCAGGTTAACACAAAGAGAAATAATGTATATAAATTTATGCAACGAAAGTTCGCAGCCTTAACTATTTAAAATTTGTATATAACCCAGAATCCACGTGATTCTGCATTTGAAAGCAGAATAGTTACTTTAAAGGTAAATAGCAGTCTTTATATTCTGTTTCAGTTGAGGTATAGTAACATTCTTTATAGGAAACTACTTTAAGTAACATAGTCAAAGCCTTGGAGAAAATTCTCCGTCTTTTCTCTCTCACATGCTTTTACCATGTTTTCGCGGATTGTTTTTCATATATCTCAGGGCGCCTGTTAAGAATTCGGTAAACGATATATTTGAACTCGATTGAACTTAATATTTAAGCTCAATCAGATCTGTTATAGTTGATTCACAACAGCTGTGAATTTGAATTTTTTTGTAAATTTAAATATAGCATAAGCAAAACTAAACTGTACTTAAATTTAGACTCATAAACTGAATGGGAATTAAAGCTTCCTTCCAGCTGCATGTTTCATGTGCACTTCTGCATGCATTTACTTGAAGCCTCTTTTGTCTTTGTGTGCAGCAGCTGCTACCCTTTAACTTTGTCGGAGCGCGAAATGGTGAAAATGAGCGCAACTAAATTGATTAAACGGCCGAAACGCGCTCAAAAGCTTTTCCACATCCACCTCCCCACATCCAGCGGTGGGGCGACAGTGCATAAAATCGCAAAACGCGAAACAACTCGCATCGCAATTCCTTTTGCCATAAAAAATGAAAAATGAATGCTGAACAAGTGGAAAAGCCCTAGTCGGGCAGTGCTTGACTTGAAAGTATCCTCTACTATGAATATCTATAATTATTTTATGTGTCCAAGCAAAAATACTTTGACCTTTCTTAGGTCCCTGTTGATTTTTCATAAATGTGAACTCAATTTAGATATAATAAATTAGCGATAAATAATCCTGAAACTTTTAGATTAAATAAATTATAAATAAAGGCAAGGTAGGAGAATATTTCAGACGTAAAATATTTTTTACTTTCCAATTTTATTTGGAGCTCTTGCATTCAATACATACAAATACATACAAATTTTGTACTACATTGCAATCCGAGTCCCGTCTAGGTAAAAGTTGATTCTCATCGGGCTAAAGTGAATCTTTAATTACTTCCACATATTCTTTAATTTGATCTAAATAAAAATCATGTTCCAAACTCAATTAATGAGCTTTTGAATGCGTATCGAGACACCTCAGCGTGATTCGGCTGTCTTTAGCTATCAGAATGTTCTATTCATTGTATACATATATGCTTGAAAATGAATTTATTTTTAATTAAGGGCCAGAGCTGCCTATGAATGAAGCGAGGTGATGTATGAAACCATATGTGAGCGCAAAGAAATATATGAAAAATGTAAACTTTTAAAAAATGATTTAAAATATGCGAATCTCATTCAACCTCGGTATGAATGCACCTAGGTTTCACACACTATCTATAAGGCCGCGTGTTTATTACAGTCGCTGGGACTCGGCTTTATACACTTCTCACTGGCGCAGCGTATAGGGCATGTAAAAGAGCAGAACAGCAAAACGATTTAACACTCAACGGCTACAACAGGCCACACTGCAGAGGCATACAGAGTCTCATTTTCGTTGCTCTTTGCATGACAGGCAAATGTAGGTTGCAGGCATTGCAAATGCCATTTGCTGGGTGCCAGGCAAAACACTTTAAGTCTTCAAATCGAGATCTGTGACAGGTACTGGCCAGCTTGGCTTGGCCTGGCCATGTGGGGCCTGGAGGCAGCCGGATGGCGGCTGTCAGTTGTCACCTTCGACCACACGACGGCATTTTACACATGCTTGTGAATGACAAGCTGGTATATTGTCGAAATGTGCGCTTTAAGCCAACAGTAGCCGACTGCTGATTCATTTGAGTGTGTACGTATGTATGTGCATAAGAGCTAACGTATCGCTCGGCTGGGATGCCTGTTCGAATTGCCAGTAGATATCTGGCAACTGGGTATCTGTGTTGGTCAGTTTGCTTTCGGATTTGCTCTCACCTCGTTTCCTTTAAGTGGCCATCAAGCACTGATGTTATTATCCACACACACACATACTCATTCACTCACTCAGATACACATACGCGCATATAGGAGGCAATCAAAGCCATGTTGACGTCCAATTTAGCTGCTGTTGATTTGTGTCGTGGGTTTTTGTTTTTGTGACTTCATTTTTCCGAGGCTGCAGCCGCCTTTAGGTTTTGTTGTCTAAGCCTGTCGGTTACGCAACCATTTCGCAGCACATTTCAGCAGCATTTTTTGCTGGGCTGTATTTTTTCCGAGCTCGGGTTTGGCCATCGAGCAAAGGCAGGCAAAAGGAAAAGCAAAACCTTGAAATGTTTACACGTGATTTATGGCGCGGAATTTTCGTTTACGTGGCTCTTTTACGGCATCGGCTGCAGCTGCCCCAAAAATACGTATTGTCCAAGCTGGCAGCTAAAGCTCCACCAGGATGTACACGTAATAAACTTTAAGCTGAAAACATTTCCTATATACCAATGGGTACCACCGACCAATATTTGAGCCAAGTTTATGGAATACTAAAATCCGAGTCGTACAAGTCGAGAGATTAGCCGAGCTTTTAACTTTTTCAAAATATGTGCATTTTAAATTTTAAATTGTTTTCCTACCTTTCTGTTTCTGTCTCTCTTTCTCTCCTTCTATCTCTCTCACTCTCTTTATTTATGTCTTTATATTTCTCACTCTCTCCCTTTCACAATCTATATCTTTGTATTTTTTCTCTCTTTTGTGCTCTCTCTCGGTCTCTCTCTGTCTCGCTCTCTCTGTCTTTCTCCCTCTGTCTCTATATATCTCTGTCTCTATATATCTCTGTATCTATCTCTGCCTCTCTCTCTCTCTCTCTCTCTCCCTCTCTCTCTCTCTCTTTTTCTGAACTCCTACATACGTTCCTATAAAGCAATTTAGTTATTTAGATAAGATACAAGATAGTTTTGATAAGTCATTAAAATACGAACAGTTGAAGGCCATATAATAATCAACTAGTTTTCACAGGGTTTATTCCATATAATAATCAACTAGTTTTCACAGGGTTTATTAAGTAATGAAAGTGTATTGAATATAATGAAGTACAAGTCGACCGCAGCCAGTTGAAAAATTTGCAGAAAATCTTTCGTTTATCAAAGAGCTCCATTTATAGCAGTGTAGTGAAATACATAAACTTTAATAATTAAGGATTCGTAGAAAAATTTGTATGTGCCCACAGATGAATTCTTGAATAACTCTAGGGTAGTGACAAATGTTCCAGGCAGAATTTTAAAAATATCACCAACATGTAACTACCGATAAAAAGCGCTAGAATATCATTTATATCTAATAATTTAAAGTATCTATGGAATTTGTATCTGTTGTAAATAGTACTGTTCCTGTAGAAACAGAATACGACGGTGATCGTAATAATCACTTTGCATATGAATATACAGGTGCGTTGGTATGCGTTGAGGGAGGCATCGGTGTAGCGCCAGGGTCCGAAAATGGGTTGCAGAATGAACCAGTCCGTAAAATGAAGTCGACTATAAAATCGAAATCTTCGTAGGAATAGCAAAAATCCTTCGATTGGCTTTATCTTATGCAATTTATGAATAATCTTTTTCTTTTCCATCGGATAGCATGAGACTATTACCTTTTGATCACGTCGTATCCAGCAATGTAACGGGAATGTGTAGCTTAGATCGTTGCGTAAATCATCCACTTGAATGGATCGACAGTACCACGACGGATATCTACCGGACAGATCGTGGCTAATTGTCAATCGACAGGGCAATTGGACCTTTCTGTCACTCAGCCTTATCATACGCGAAGTGCCTAGTCCCAAGTGCGGATTTACAGGATTCTGATATATAACAACCTTGTAGCGTCCTAGGTCAGATACAAATTCGAGTGTAACATTCGCTGTTGTAAAGCTTAATAGGCCTCCGCCCGTCCGCAAATGCACAATGACATTCTCTGCACTTGGGTCTACCTCATCTTGTCTTGATTTCATGACTCGAATTAAATTCTTTCTCCTGTAGCGTGCTCGAAGAGTGGCCAACAACAATAGGGCCACAACTCCTAAAATCACTAAGCAAAAAAATATCACGGCAAGGCTGCAAATGGGGGGAACGAATATTTCATTGGCAATTTGTTGGATCTCAAATGGCTCGATCTTATACGCCGTGGCGGAAAAGATGGATAGATAGTGCACATGGCACTGCGAGAAGCTACGATTCCGTGCCATGGTCTTGAGACTGCAATCAAATTTCTGCCAAGTCGGGTTATCTTTGGACAAATCGAATACGTTGCACTGTTGTGAACGAATGCGCACTGTGAATTTAGCTGGTTCTAAAGCATTGGGCTCAGCCCTATATATCGCAATGTAGGCTGTATTCTCCTGCGGACAAAGATTATTCAAAATAACTGTCGTCTTGAGAGAGCCCTTTGGCACGTAGTAACTTTTATCGTAAATGTTGCGCAGCACCGGTTTAACATGCATTGTAATTAGTACCCGAAAATCTACTGAAGATTCCAAAAATTGGACTACCAGATTCGCCCTATTCTGTAGTTTTACTGAATAAATTATCGCATGGTAAAGAACCTCATTTGTGTCCTGGTAATAATAATTTGTGGTGTTCGAAAGGCGTCTCAAGCCTACACTATACGAAGCGAAATCATTTGGCAATGCTGTTAAGTCGTCGGTATCCATATTACGGCCAAAAATATTGATGGCCATAGAGGCGGAATTGGGTGGACTTACCCCTGGCACCCACCACAATACATCGGACTTGAGGCACCAACTATAAATAAGTAGACTATTAGTGTTAAGCAGCTTGCGGAGGAATGCAGTTGTTTTCAAAGGTGATTTTATATAACAATATGAGTCACTTGATATAAAGTTGATCGGCGTGAATTTATCATGCATTTCGGCTCTGAAGCTAACATCATCTAGGACATAATTAAAAGATTCTCCCGTTTGAATGAATTTAGCCAAGTGCTGTCCAATATTACGCCACAATATAAAGATCCCCTTTACAATTGAAACAATGTGATTCATTCGCATGGCAATATGGTGATTAAAGTTCATCCAATCGATATAGACTTCTTTATCCTTAGTATTGGGCACCAAGAGAAACGAATTTAGTTTCAAGATTTCCAAATCAGGGATCATGCAAAATGTAATCATGTGGGTTAAACTCTTGACCATATCAAGCCAAATGGCCTGAGTCAAATCGAGTGCTTCGGTATCCGTGCTAACAAAATCAAAAATATATGCCACTTTGCGCAGAGTATGAGAAACAACTCGAACTTCAGGGTTCTTTAATGACTTCAGAGCTGAAATGCACATTTTCGCAATCTCAAGAGTGTTCACCATTTCCAAGATTGTAGCCGAATCCTTATCTCCCCAGCTGATATCTGCATCCACGAAACGGATCATATTTTCTGGTTTATGGGAAACCAGTTGCAAGAAGCAGAACGCCTGCTGCCTACGTCCCTCCGCCAACATTACATTCAAGTCGGGCACACTATTGGAATTTGAGTCGTCAATCACAACGGGTAAATCGACAACTGTGCAACCGAAATGGTAGCTACATATGTGAGCAGTCAGTGTATTTTCCCCATTTAGGTAAAGAAACGTTTCTGGCGAATTGGTTCTTTCGACATACAAGTTGCCCATTTTAAAGGTATACAGGAGCGGCTCTTCAATCTGTGTAGTAAAATTTAGGCAAGATATATGGAATTTGGTGGTGCATTCCTTGCCGATTTTTGGCTCAATTTGGCATATGCCGCCTTGTGGTGGGTACGCCCTTTTGAATCTTATGCCTGTATTCCCGACGTTGCCAGCGTGATCCGCGACTGTCAGTTCAACAGTTAGTTTGTCGTCGACAAAGCTATCATTGCCCACGCGCATTATGAATCGTCTTTTATTGTGCACCGGATTAAGCTGAGTACTCAGATACCAGGTGTTCGAAATAGGAGGCAGGCAAGAGGTGCATAGAGAACGCAAGTGTAGCACCTGATCGGCAGCAATAAAATTGTCTTTGCAATTCCTGATACATTCTATTTCTACATGGAGTGGTTCTCTATCGTAGATTAATACAATAACCTGGCTAGCTTTGGCGGTGCGCGCTTTTACAAATTTGTTTGTAACTTGCAAGGTAATTGTACTTAATTTAGTTTTCAGAACTGACATCGAAACTGTTAACCTTGGTTCTATAAGTGCATTAGTGAGTCGTTCGCGAGATCACTTTTATATGCGTACTTACCGGGATTATCTTTGGATAGATATACCTCTTCATATTCCCCAGCGGATTTCACGCTCCAGGTATATGTTAGCTCCTGAGTATAGTTTATATTCTGTCCGGGCTCAATACTGCTAGAGCCATCAAGCGTCAGCCATGAGCTACTGGCACTGATTTCTCTATATTCACCGCCGGCTATTTTAGCAACCACATTCCGCGCCGTCACATTTAGATAACACTACAAATGAATATCAATAAAAAATATGTTTGATTGCTGATGAGGTCGCTTACTTTGGTGAATACCCAGGGCCCGCCCTGCTCCTTGACTGAAAGCTGCACCTCAACTAAGAGATCGGGATAGGAACGCAGAAGAGATGGTCTCCACAATAAATAGTGCGGTATCTTAAACAACAACTGGTCTTCTTCCTTTAGCATATAGGTGTCAGCTGTTATGAGAATACTTAAGTTGCAGTTGGTATAGAGAAGGGTGAGTTTCTTACTGTGTTCCTCGTACTTGTAAACTGCCCACTGGACCTGCAGAATGGGTTTGGAATGTAAGCACCGTTCCTCCATGATTGCTTGCAAGTTGCAAAATTGTTCGGAATCAACTTTCCTGGGATTATGTGGATTCATGCAGTGTTGGAACACAACGCGAGGTATGCAGAAATTTGTCCTTAGTACATATACGGGTAGCGATAGGGCTATCACAGAATAGTCCATCTTATTTCTGCTTTCCGGCTCGATAGTCACATTCAATAGATTGGCGCCCGGATTGGTGTGCTTTGTTTTAAATACGTAATATAAAGCATCGTCGTACGGTGGCTTGATATGTCGTCTTATACCCAATTCATGTAGAGTGGCGGTCAGGTTGTGCGTATATTGACCTTTCATAGGTGATCGTGAGCGGGCAATTAAATTGTTTTCTGAAGATACTGTTATTCGCAAGGGCTCGGGGCTGTGATATGCAAAGCTCAAAACAATTGGCTCCTCCACTCCATAGTTCACCTGCACATTGTAGCTGCACAGAGGCTTGGCGAGACCGCACTCCTGTGATCTGATTTCAGGCGGACAAACGCAAACTATTTGACCCACATAAGGCACACAGATCTGTGTGCCCGTGCATGTATTTTTGGACGTTGCGCACAGATTCTTGACTTTTTCACAATATTTGCCTTGAAAGGCCTCGTCATAGCAGGTGCAATTTGGTTTCCTGTTCACTAGTGTACATTCACCGGCGAAGTTGCAGTACTCCGGAGAGCAACGATCCGTTGAGTTTGAAATCGAATGCACATTGCATATGAGAAGACTCCAAAGGACAAATTTAAGATACATATTTAATAATATTTGTTTATTATTTGATACTAAATATCTATGCCTGCTTTAAAGCCAGTTGAAAATGGGATCACTTTGTTTGAAGCTATGTAACAAGCGTACAATATATATATTTATTCCAAACTGCGATCCAAAGCCAAATCGATTCATATCTTCGTTTGACTGCATGGATGACCGTGTAGAAATAATACAGAATATTTTGTTATATTTTGAATAGCACATTGCTCATCTATATTAATTTTTTATCTAAATATCACAACCTTTTTTCTAGTTTCTCGATATCATTCAAAGTGTCTTACTTTGAACCTATACTATTTGCTTGAATCTGCCCCGTAAGTCTCACTTAGCTGATGCCTGTTCTTCTTGCTCAAGGCGAAATCTATATTTATTTAGTTGTCATTTAGTCATACTATATCTGTATAATAATAATATTGGATGTAAAAGCTGAAAAAAATATAAAATGGTTAAATTGTTGGAACAGTATTAAGTTAGTAATTTGAGTAATGTTTAGTACAGATAACTTGGGGTCATTCTATGCGCGTTTTATTTTTGAAGTTTGGTGTTCTATTTGTTCCATTAATTTGAATAAGATTAAACAATACGTAGGAACAATATGACATTCTAATAATGGATTTCTTATAGAGTAGAGGAATAGCTATGATAGATTCATATAAGTGTAGATTCCTCGTCACAGTAATATGACATATCAAATAGTCACTCGACAGTCTTAGTAGTACAAATTTTATTAGTGTCTTCTTTATATAATTTGAAAGAGAGTTATCAAGCTTCCAAGCTGTCTTCTATTAAATATATGATTTTATCTTGTTTTTGAGTATATTTTGCCACTTCATTAAACTAGTGGTGCCCGATGCAAATTGAAATAATTCTATCCATTCTCGATTGCTGGCGGCTGGCGGCTGCTGCTTGGGTGCCAGATAAGTGCAGACAATCGTTGCAGCTGGTAGCAAAAATCAGTTTATTGCATTACGTCTACGGCATGGCCAAAGGCTGCTCGGCTTTTGGCATTTTTTGGTAATCATATTACCTGTGCTGCCTTGCAGCATCCCAAAGTATGGAGTGACTGAGTGAATGAGTGAGTGAGAGAGAGAGAGAGAGAGAGAGAGAGAGAGAGAGACAGGGAGAGAGAGCGAGTGAGTAGCGCACTTTTATTCCATGTATAAGTATATTGATGTTAGTTGTTTGTGTGGGCGTGTTACAACAAATTGCACTTGCAAAATATTATATATATGTACTTGTAGGGTATGGGCCAAATGGAAGCTGTCGACTGGCAGACTTGACAACTGCTCGTCAACCGAGTTCTGGTTGAAAGCGTCGACTATATGGAAAGTGCACAACATAGTACACACGCACACACCCAGATACAGGCACACAAAGAAAATCAAATTTCAGGCATACTTTCAGGTTGAGTTTTTGGGTGCATTGATGAAATTGCATTTGATAATGGGCAGCAGCCAGAGAAACCTGACAAATCTCCTTTGGAGCGCACCATGCCTTAGAGTTGACTGCCTTCCGTGTGCACTGAATGTGGAAACTGAAGTGTGAACTAAAGGCTATTGAAACTTTGGATAGCCAGAGACACTTTATGAATGTGAAATTTGTTAATATAGTGGCATAAATGCTCAAATCTGACAAATAAATAGGAAAACATTTTTAAATCACCTTTTAAAATTTGTATGCCAAGGTGCAAATCGTATGACCATATAATATATATAGTAAATAACAACATATAAACGCAGTTTAGCTCAGAAACTTTCGCGTTAGATTAAATTTAGATACATGGAACTATTGAGCTGTTTTGAAATTTCTTGGCTGTTGATTGGCTCTTTAAACTAGATGAGGCTCCAAATTTCAATAGTAGTTCTCGAAAGAGTGATCGAGAGGGATATCCATCCATTAAGAGAGAGAGAGAGAGAGAGAGAGAGAGAGAGAGAGAGAGAGAAAGGATGTTAAAGTGAGATAATATATTGAAAGGAAAGGAAAATTTATATATAAATATTTGTAGTATTCGAGTTATACTAAAAAAAAAAAACAAAAAACAAAAACCAAGTCAAACTATCGATATTTATCGAAAATAAGAATACTACGTATATTTTAAAAATATATATATTTTATTTCAGTATATGCGGTTACACTCTATTTTCCCTTTGAGATTCATATAAATGCTTTCAGTCTCTATAATTTAGAAAGTAACTTATGACTCCATCTGAAGAACCTAACAGACTCCTGTACAATATGATGTTGTATAGTTGTTTTAGGGAACCTACCTAATTTCAGCTCATTTACTATTGCATATACTGTGGTAAATTTGACAAATCACCAGCCTAACAGTGTTTTCCTATTTAATGCAGACAAATGGAATGAGGATAGGCGTACAATTGTACCCGTAAACTGAATAATTGACAAACGCAATGGGACCATTTATCAGCTGGCAGCAAGACAAACGCATTAGTGACGTAACATAATAAGCCACACAATGTCTATACACATTAGCAACATACATAGGAACACACTTGGCATGTTCTCGCTTGACTGCCAGCTGCAGATATCATAAAGCTCAAGGAGCACATGGCATTAGCACACGGAAAGTTGTTAAGTGCCACCCAGCAGACAGAAGGACCAAAGGACCAAAAGACCATTGCAGAGGGCTTTGCGTTTTCGATGCGGCCACTTGAAAGCCCTGACGTATCAGGTCCATCCCTCCCCGCTACCTCGACGCAATCGATTAAGCGGGTTAAGTGCTGCATAAGCCGTCAGCAGGGCGGCTCCGTCTCACTCTCTCCATCTATCTTTCTCGCTCTCTCTCATAGTATTCGTGTGAACACGTGTAGAGCACAGCAGAGCTCAATATGTTTAGCTGCATGGGAGCGCTTTCTTGCCATGGGCTCAGCTCTGATTCGTAAAATGAATTTTTTATTTGTTTACCTATCACAATCTAGCAATTACATCTAAATCAGCTTAAGAATTGACACTACAGGCGATATATGGCCTTCGGCTATGTGTTTGTGTCCTGAATGCAATACTTACATATTGGAATTGTAGTTGGCATGTTTACAAATATATATTTATTTATTACAACCTAAGTCTTGGAGTAAAAAGTACATATTAAATCTAGATCTTGGCTCAATGTCATTTAAGAAGTCTTACCGACTGCACTTTCAAATTAACATGCGTTTTTTACGTTTTTCTATGCCATATATCCGCTTGGGCTACTAACACGAGTATAATTTCTAAAGTTCGAGTTTGTAGCAAAAAATGAGATTTTAGATAGTTTCACGAAATGTTTTAGCACATATTATTTTAAATAAAATATGATTATGCTTATGCTTATGCTTATGATTTCTATAAGTCCTGAATATTAAAGAAATGCAGAAAGCAGGAGCAGATTTATATGTCGATCTGGGTCACTTATGGTCGGGAACTCTAGACCATGACAATTTCAAATAAATATAAGTGTTTATTGATTAATGGATTAGATTAGTTTAAATAGAATATTTCCGATCAACCATAACCCTAATTGCAAACCAAATTAATTTGTTTGAATTTCCGTTGAAACAATATTATACAGTAATAATTTAATAGCATTAAGAATTAATGGGTTTGTCTCTATTGAAATTGCTGGTGCATGGCAAATTAAGTGTGAAATTAATTGCACTAACCGCACTGACATATAGTATGTATATAAATAAAAGCCAGCTAGTTCCCCTCCTTCTCTCTATCATCCTCTCTATATGGGACTACATACTACACAGTTATGTGTTTGTCTGCATTTGTTTATACATATAATTATCAGAGATTCGCATATAATTTTCATTTATTTGATGGTTGTAAATTAAAAAGCGGTCGACACACAAATAAGCAAAACTTTTGTTATGCTGTTCGTTGTTTTAGAGTGCTCAACACAACGGGGTCGAGGTCAGCGCATGTCATCCATTTTCGTATTGTCATTTTCACATTAAATTTTCCATAAAAGCAAAATTTTCTACAACAAAATTAAGGCAATCAAATCGATTATACGACTATTTCTGAACATTTGCTGCTAATGAATGGTATCGATTTAAGAGATTAGAATATATATTGAGTGTGTGTGTGTGTGTGTGTGTGTGTGTGTGTGTGTGTGTGTGTGTGTGTGTGTGTGTGTGTGTGTGTGTGTGTGTGTGTGTGTGTGTGTGTGTGTNTAGACCTGGAGACTTCAAATTTGCGTTGTATATAAAGTTAATGGATACAAAGATTTTGTAATTTACAGATTTTGGATACCACGCCCCCTTCGCCCCCAATTTGTAAAAAACGCATTTCAAGTACTAGAGACTTGTGCTTTGAAATGTACACACATTTAAGCCATATGATTACGCTCTAAAAGTTTCATTAAGATCGTATGTCTACAAAAGAAATTATTCAACAAATAAATTCTCGTTATATTGCCCACACTGCAGTGCAGCCCAAGCGCAGCCGCTGCTAGCTGCGCAGTTTGCAAAGCGCGTGCTTATACGTGCATGTGTATGTATGTGTGCATAAAAGAAGTCCAGAATGATTAGAATATCAGTTTGGAGGGTTCAGGGTATCTCCTAGTCGAGCAGTCTCGACTGGAGCCTTCTTACTTGTTATTCATAGATGCCAAGATATGTATATTGTAAATACATATTACGCCTGACATAAACCGATAAATATCAGCCAACATCTCTTTCAGAGACTATCAACTGTATAAACACAAATAAGCACGTGACATATTTTTGCCATGAGACAATTTTACAGCTTGCAAATTACGTTCCTTAACGACTAAAAACTTTTATATGACATAAATGGGGTTCTTAAAACTATCAACTTTTATGATCGCATTAAAAATTGGCCAAATAGAGTAAATACATCACGTATTGGATGGATAAACAGAGTCGATGTGCGGGATAAATATCTTTACTACCTCTACTAAGCTCTAGGGGGGAAATATTATGTATTTTTCAGTGGATTTGGCAAATAACTATTGAAAATTTAGCGATCAGATACCAGAAATACAAGAGTATTCGTAAATTGCAGTGTCCGTCCAATTTCTCAACTCAACTAATAAAGGTATCGATGGCTACCTAAATTCAGAAAGAACTGTTTCCCCTCGGAACGAAAAGTGGAATTGCTTTTTGGAGACTTTTAAAAATAATACAGAGCTATCTAGTTATATGCAACAATAAGATTACTTTTGCCATACAGTTTTAATAGCTACGCATTCTTACTATTTTTTAAATTATTATTAATTATTAACTACGTTTTGCTTACAGAAATTTGGGAAACCCAAACATATTGCTGCAAAGAAGACGGTTGTAATTCGAGTGGCCTGATGAAAGCCTCTGTATTCTTGGTCTCTCTGCCAATTATCATGTGGTTATTTTAGATGACTTTTTCGGAATTTTAGTATTGAATTCAAGATCATTTATTTCCAATTTAATAGTTTTAAGCATAAAAAAACTTTCAATTCTAGCTGTAACTTTCGACCTAGGTTTGTGCATGTGTCTAACAAAAATTACGTTTCGCTATTATTGTTTCCGAAAACAAATTTTGTAAATGGGACCTAAGAAACAAATCTTTACTAAACATGATTTAAAACATTTTTTCTATATTTACTTTACTATTTTTTTGTTACTAAATGATTGCAGCAACCTTATGTTAACTTTAACTGTCTTCCCAAATCAAGATTTTTAGGATATACCAATTTATAAAGTTTTTAATGAATAAAGCTTCGTAGAGTGAACATCATAGTTAATATATAACTCTTACTATTGTTCTGCTCGGCCTATTGTTATTTTCGATTGATAGCTGAGCTTCCAAATAAGCTGAAATATCTGATTGGAAATTAGAAAAGAAAAACCAATTAAGAGGAAAAATTGTTAGACTATAGACATTTAGAAACTAAAAGTTGCACTCAAAGCAGATGCTAAACTAAGAACAACCTAAAGAAATATATATCTTAATCTAAAAAAATAATATTATGTGGTTTAAAGTATAACATTTCTAATCACCAATAATTATATATTAATAAAGTAGAAATGGCATCCATCTCAACAGAACTTGAATATTTTTGCAAATCACAGACGCAATGTAATCTAAAGTACTTCCTTAAAATATAACATATAAAATGTAAACGAGTAAGTTAATTGTTCTGTGCAAATAAAAAGAAAATATAGAAAAAATAGATTTCTGATTAAATATATTATTTTGATTATTTATTTCAAATATTACTAAAATGCCAAAGTCACAGTAAATAAACTTTGGGGTCTGTGACTTTGTTATTTGGTTTTGAATATTCGAAATATAAGATTCTTAACAATTTGAATTGATTATAAATATAAAATATAACTTTTTTCCGTTTCCTATAAATATTTATGTATATGTAATTTTAGGGTGGTGCGAGTTAAATGATACAAACAAAAATACAAATTTAAAACTAACTTTAAGGAAATATAAAAAGTTCTCGCTCTACTGCGCATGAAATTCTAAATTATTATTAACTTGACAAAAATGAAAAGTAAGTTTAATTGCAATGGAACATTCAGCAACAATTTGGAAATGCTATTGAATAGTTAACAACGTATAAGCCAAATATTAGAATTTACAATATTGGAAGCTTAGAAAAAATAAATTTTAGAAAAAAATAAATAAAAACAAATGTAAAAAATTTATTATTCCATACAAAATGCGCACTTATGCATTTCAATTTTTATTATTTATTTCAATTCCTAATAATATTATATATAAATATGTATTAATAAAAGCGGCCAAGTGGCATACGTACAATACACAAATATTTTAATCAATAATAATATAATATTTAAGGATTCTTTCCCACATTTCCTTATTTTAATAATTTAACTATGAGTGAAAGAAGCCATTTTTAGTCCTTCCCGTTTGAAGTTTGGAGGATTAAGGGCATTCATGTTCTTAGCGGCTATACTCGACTGGGATACACCCTTAACCATCGACTCGTCCATTCTATCATATGTACTTTGTTTTACATTTACTTTTGTGTGATGATTTCTTCAACAATGAGAAATGAATTATGAAATAACTTGGCATTGGGCAGTGAGATCTTTATGAAATATTCTAAAATGATTAGAGATGAAGTGCTTGTCACATTTATTATAAAACATACCTTATTTTTATATTTTTTTCATTCACTTTGTCTACGTGTACGCTTATGATGATGCGAAAGGTTTTGAAGTATATCGATTTGAGTATTCAATATTGCGCCAATTGTATAGATTCTTTCCTGATTATATTTACTTTCTGCATGCTCCACAATATTATCAAGGGGACTTATTGTATTTTTTGCAACAAATGCCTTGGTGATGGTAGCTTCCCACTTCTTCCTTTTATTTCTTATCGATTGTATTGATTTCATGATGTTTTCAGAAACAGTTCGATTATTCCGACGATAACATATACGAAACTTTGGAAATTGCTTTATCTTTAGAACATAAACTCTCATTTCGGCATAAATGAATTGAAATATGTTGATGCGACGACCGGATATCATATCCCTTTGATGTTTTGCAGTGCAAACAAAGTCGTTTATTATTGATACGAACATATTTACCAAAATCACCGAAATAACGAATACCAAGATCGAAAAAAATATAGCGCCAATGAACTGGCCGCCACGAAACAGTTCTTCCGGACTAACACCATTGGTATATCCGAAGGTGAAGCATGTGCATGTGATGATACTCTGGCGAAATTGAGAGAAGTTGAAGCTGTTGTTGCCATTAAACGTAGATACCGCAATCGCAAAACCCAACAGTAATACGATAATGACCACAGCAACAGATGCCACCGCTCGCCAAGACAAATACAGGGTTTGTGTGAAGAGCTGGAACACATTGGAGAATTCGAGAGCCTTCCATAATCGAAGAGTAATCAAACACAAGAGAAATCCAATAAGTATTGTGGTAAACGAGTGCACGTGAGTTGCTTCTAATACTTGTATGAACTCCATTTTGCTGTCATTTGCAAGATGGTCAAAAATGTTCGTGATTTTTGACTCACGTATGAAAATCATTATTAATATGAGGATGTTAAGCACAAATATTGCAACATCCACTTTGTTCCAAAATGAACGAATTTGCGCCGGTTCAAACCACAATTTGATCGCAAGCCCCTTAACGAAGTCTACAAAAGTTATGATATACATAATTATAAAAAGTATTGTCAGGTGTGTAAGATGGTCAACTTTTTGAAATGAGCTTATTGCATTTACGTTCACATAAGGAATCATGGTGCCAAAGGTTGTTTGCTCTATACGCAGGGTGCACACAGCTAATAATTTTGCATTAACGCTATACAATGCGAATTCCATAAATAGAACCGATGTATTGTAAGTGAGCCACTTATTTTTGCGTAGGAATCTTACGATCACGTGACTATTTTGTTGACTGCGCGCAAGTAGCGACATGTAACCACTTAACTTGGGATATGAGCGAAGATATCCTGTATGTTGTTGCAATACTAACAAGTTTAGTCCCGAATGCAGATTTTTGAATACCCACGGTTCATAGATGCGCCAATAGACTTCATCGTAAGGAAAACGCCGATATGGTAATTTCCATCCAGGCAAATACGATTTCTCTGAAAAAGGAGGGTCGCTCACTCTATCATGCTGAAAATCAGTCACACGCGATTGACGTAGTCGAACGACTCCAAGCAAAGCAGTCTGCTCGCTATGAATCCATGATTTTTGAGATTCATCTCCATCAATAGCAAAGTCATCAATTAGCGTAGATTTTATGAAATCATAGGCACCTGTCAATTCGCCCACATCATACAAACCATAATAACTGGAATAATTGTATGTGAAAAGGCGCTTAATGTGATTTCGAGTGTAATACGTAGTCTCATCGGATAAGAACAGTACTAGACACATTATAAACAGGAAATACTTTCCAAACAGCCATAAATCATTTACTATCTCCCTGTACTGGGAGTTCAGCTTTTCATTACGATGCTTTTCCGGTATTGAGAGATGGGCCCGTAAACTGTTCAATCGCAAGTTCAAATAATCTAACTGTTTTTGATGGCCAACTTCTGCAACTGTTGCATACTTCAGGTTCTGTGGACTCCAAAAAGCGTCTAAGCTAGCAAGTATTAGAAATCTGATGGGATCTCCGAATAGAAAGTGACCCAAAAGCACTATGAGTAGGGATACCAACATTGACCTAAATTTACCCATTGAGTGATTAAATCCGGAGAATACTCCAATGGTTGTCAAACAAACAGATACTGTAAACAATGTAGTCCACAAGAAAAATAGATTAGTCCGCTTTGCCATATTCTCTGAGACGCTTCCAGAATGGGAAATTGTTTATATTGCTCAGAGACACTTCCAGAATGAAAAGATGCTTATACTGCTTATGCTTACAATGAATATTTATGACAATGTAAAAGTATTAATTGACAGCTTGAACAAAGCTGCTTGACTAGGAACAGAATATAGCGATAACATAAATTTATAAATATTATTGTTCACTATTGAGTCCATAAGTCTTATCTTACATATTTAAATTTTAGTAGTCAAATAATAATAAAACTCTAGTTGAACTTATCAATTTATAATATATGTATGTATATATAATGTTAATAGCACTCAACAAAATTCTATAATAAGAATTTACATATATAAATATTTACATTTTAGTATTGAAATAGTAATAAGACTCTAGTTGAATGCTTGAATTTATTTATAACATCGTTTTTTTTTTTTTTTTTTTTTTTTTTTTTTT